TCTCTCTCTCTCATTCACTCGTCATCTTTCTGCCATTGATTCTGCTGTGGATTAGGATAGAGTTGTATCTCACACATTGATGGGCTGTTTCTCAGGGGAATAGGATGCTATTGTTTCTGTTAGTGGTCAAGTGATATGTTTTTTTCAATGGCTAATAGCCGATGCTGATATCTAGAAGGAAGGGGGGGATGATGGCAGATATTATATTCATGCATGGGTAGTTGATGCATAATGTGTCCACAGAATTTTTTTAAGATTTGAGATTTAAAATTTATATGAATGTTTAAAATAAAATTTTCACTTCACTTATTCCAGGTGCTGTTCACTCTTTTGCTTACTAAGTTTAAAAAAAAATACTAATTGGTCCCACTTTATATTAGGTGACTTAGCTACTATGTACTTACAGTACATAAAAAAATAAGTACAATGTACTTATTGTGTTCATATTGAATTGCAAAACACTTTTGCTGCTATTGAGGTGTGATACGGGTAATGTGTCCTAACTACACGCGACACAACACCGCGACACGCGATAAAAGGTATCTTTTCCATGTTAATCAGAGTTTTTGTCCTAACTAGCCGCGATGGCGACATGCGAAATTTCTATTTTAGAAACGGTTTCTATTTCCGCGACATTGCAGCTGGAACAGCAACATACAAACTACTATATGACAGTGAAAATCTCAGGTGATTATGTGCTTTATTCAAAGTTAAATGTGTCTAATGTGAGTTTGAATGTCATATTGTGTGGCCTTCTAGCCATACTGAAAGCAACAACAGATAGTTTACCTCAGTGTACGTTAAAACTGTGAACTCACTGCGAACCAACGAGTGTATTCCATAAAGATGGTATCAGTCACTCAGTATGTACATTTAATAATGTTAAAAAGGTTTAATATTTATGAATTAGATTATAAACGTATCCATTTTGTTGCGAGTGCAGTGTGCTTTCAGAGAGAGCCCGCCCACACACGCTTCTGATTGGCTGTGATATTTGTTTGATTCTGTCGCGTCGCGTCTAGTGTGGACACCCAAATCTTCTCGCGTCTCATATACTGTAGTTAGGACACGGTGTAAGGTCACGCAACAAAGTTATTTTTAAAATGACAAATATTCAAAGTACCTGTTCTAATATGAGCCCATAAAAACGGCTGGTATAATACTTACAAAACTTATTTACAAACTGCTGTTTAAAATGGTTTTAGATGAAATATCACATCACAGGACACTTCCCAATTGCACAAAACAATTTTTTTTATATAGGCATATGCATGTTAAAAGTCTATTGGTAGATGCTGAAACTGACGCAAGAAATGACCACGGTTATTAGATTTTAAGTATTATCTTTTCTCCAAAAGGCTGCTGTGGTGCTGATAATAAATGAGAATAAAACATGAATGGAAATGCTTCACGATCCCCTCGCGGCATCATTCAATCAAATGCCTGTTTTTAAATCACAGAACTGATTTTTAAAGGCTAAATTGATTTGTTTGAGTAATGTTGGTGTACATTCAGTCTGCCCTTTACTGTTCTATAATCACATTTGCCTGTACATGCTGAAGGAACGCTGACTCAGGGGCCAAGAGATCGCAGGTGGTCCAGAGCCCCCATCCAGGACCAATAAATACTGCATGAGGGACAGACTCCACAGGGAATACTGCAGCCACACCGGAAATCAGCGTGCTTTAATATAATGAGATGTTTCTCATTAATTTAATGCGTTTGAATTTTTCCCCATTACTTTCAATGAAATTTCACCATCAGATTTCCATATTATGAACTTAAATTAAAAAGTACCATAAACAAAACTTTTTTTTTTGCTTTACAGTAATTAGCGGGGGTTTTTTTTAGAGTTAAAATGTGCTTAACTGTCATGAAAAAACCTGATTTAATATTCTTTGAGCAAAACATAATTTCTTTTGATTTTGGGGTGAAATATGACTTGACGGGTTTCAAGAGATTCACCCGTTTATAACATGAGAGTCTCCAAATCTAGTGAGTTAACCCAGACAGAGGCCATCTGTTTAACAGATTAGTCAGATTCAGACTCATCCTTGACATCGACACTGTCTACGTAAGTTTTTACATGATCTTTAAATGATGGTGTTCAAACTCACTCTTTTATGCACACAAACATACACATTACTTTTGACTGTCCCTCAAGCTCTGGTGTGGGCTGATGACTTGTCACCATTATCAGATGAGCTGGGATTAGTGACCACACAACACGTGGCTTCGAGCCGCTGCAGGGGTAAATGAGGCAGACACAGAGGGGTTTAAGTCGCCTCAGGCTTGTTAAGCTGTCCCACGTCTCATTGCCATTAGGCTGGGATTCAAACGTACACGAGGGTGTGTGTATGTGTGTAGGGTCATAAGGTCAAGTCAACAGCGTGACCCCTCACTCTCACAGAAAAGGAAATGGACTCTCATTGAATGGACAGATGTTAACGTCCTTACAACGACTAAGAAAAAAGTCCTTATAAAAAGAAGGTTTACATGTTTACAAACACAGCTGTGATGTGAAACAGTGTATCTCACTGCACAGCACCTGCAGAGACCAACTATTAACTTCAGTTTACATATCTACACCAGATGTACTTGTGAAGAAGGGTAACAGTGAGTTTAATTCAGAAAGTTGCTCACTAAAAGCCACCTACAAAGGCTTTAGCAGGTTTTCTACGCATAGGTTACAGTGGACTAAGATTGTCATTTTTAACACACACAGGACTTCAAACCAACCACACCCACTGCAAAAACTCCCATCTTCTCCTTCTGTCCCCTCACTGAGGCAGAAGTATCAAAACTTCTGCTCTCCAGCCATCCTAAAACATGCCCTCTAGACCCAATCCCCTCACACCTCCTCCAAGCAATCTCTCCTACACTTTTACCAGCACTCACACACATCATCAATACATCTCTCCTCACAGGCACCTTCCCCACTGCATTCAAGCAGGCTCGGATAACCCCACTGCTCAAAAAACCTGCATTAAACACTTCACTTACAGATAGCTACAGACCTGTCTCTCTGCTTCCATTCATAGCGAAAACCCTCGAAAGAGTTGTTTTCAACCAGATATCATTGTTTCTTTCACAGAACAACAAACTGGATCCTAACCAGTCAGGTTTCAGGAGTGGCCATTCAACTGAGACTGCGCTACTGTCAGTCACGGAAGCCTTGCGGATTGCAAAAGCTGATTCCAAATCATCAGTTCTTATTCTGCTGGATCTTTCTGCTGCTTTTGACACTGTCAATCATCAGATCCTCCTGTCTGCCCTCTCTTCAGTGGGCATCACAGGGATTCCACTTCGCTGGTTTGAATCCTATCTCACTGGTAGGTCTTTCAGGGTGGCTTGGGGAGGGGAGGTATCCAAAGCACATCAACTTGTCACTGGGGTTCCTCAGGGATCAGTTCTTGGACCCCTCCTCTTCTCCATATACACAACATCACTGGGTCCCATCATACAGGCACATGGCTTCTCCTACCATTGCTATGCTGATGACACACAGCTCTATCTTTCATTTCAACCAGATGATCTAACGGTAGCTGCACGGATCTCAGGCTGCCTGGCGGACATCTCGGCATGGATGAAAGAATATCACCTACACTGACAATTTTCAAGCGACAGCTGAAAACCCATCTCTTTCGAAGCTACTTGACTTCATCATAAAAAAAAAAAATAAAAAAAAATAAATAAATAAATAATAAAAAAAAAAATTCTCTCTCTTTATTTATTCCTTCTCTTTCTAGCTTGTACTTATTTGAACAATGTCTAAGAACTTGGTATTACATCCACTTCCTGTGTCTGTTTGCCTCTTTAAGAAGAATCGCTTTATGTATCCCCCAATTGTAAGTCGCTTTGGATAAAAGCGTCTGCTAAATGACAATGTAAATGTAAATGTAACTACTGAATATGTTAATATTGAGTATACATTGATAAATTCTACATACTAATTGTTGGGCTCGTTACTCAAAAAATTTAATTTATTACTCGTTACTAGTTACTGCTTTCAAAAGTAATATTATTTCATTCTGGCAACAGTAATTAGTTACACTGCTAGTTACATTACCTTCACGCCCCACAAAAGTTGTAATTGCGTATCTTCCCCACAAGATTCTTCTAAAATGTTACTAATAATATATTTCTGCCTCATCTTTTTACCAAAATCCACATTGGATTGCAGTCAGAAATTATTACAAACACTCAATGGTGATTGATAGTAATGTTTAGGTAAAGGTGTTATATTAACCTCATTAATTGTCATGTGTAGTTTGTAGCTAATTAGCTTTAATTTTTCTGTTACCCATATACGATTATATTCCATGATGTATTTTATCAAAATAAGTTTTTTTATTATTATAGTAATACAATTTACATTGTGATCAGAGGGATGTGGGTGCATGAGTAAGCCATGTAATGCCACAACTTTCACATCGGTGTTCAGATCATCTTTTCTTCTGAAAAAATCTATGTAATGGTAATATTTACATCTGTTGAATGTAAGCTTTTCCATTTTCCATGCTTGCCTGCTGCTCGTGTTCATGAGTTGTGAAAATTATGAAAATAAAGCTAGGAGTTATTGTTTTGTTTGGACTTCAAATCAGTAAGGGTTGAGGCATCAAAAGTAACTATAGCTGTTTTATGGATGGTGACTTTAAAGTGCCCCTATTATGGGTAATGAAAGGTTCATATTTTGGTTTTGGGAGTCCCCAACAACAGGTTGACATGCATGCAATCGTTTAACGATTCATTTTTCCAAACCCCTCCTTTGCGTGACCCTAATCTGCGGTGATTGATCGATTGGTCTCATTTTCATTTCATCTCTCCTGTAATGCCTGATAAAGCAGCGTTTGTGAGCACAGTGCTGCTTTGTGTACAGCGTTACCGGGGAAACAGCTATTTTTACCGCTCCAAAAGCGGCACCTAGTGGCAAAGAATAAATTAGCATTTTCATTCAGACC